GAAGGAAAAATAGATAGAAGAAAAATGAAATAGATAATGCTTTAATTTTTTTTTTATTCGATAATAAAATTAAAATATCATTTATCTTATCAGGAGATACGGCATCAATTCGTATAGAACGTTTAATATGCATGGAAGATATGATTGCTATCATTGCACGTATCTTTGAAACGGATGTTGATGATAGTTCACATTGGGAACAAAATATTTCAACAAATTTACATTATGCATGCGATTTGCATACTGCTGCACCAAGTAAATGTCCAATGGTTGTTGGAAAATCTGCATGGTATGATAAATACATAAAAATAACATTAACAATTATTTTAACGTTTATAAAATATGATTGAAGTATTTGCATGCATAAATTTTGCACTACGTAATCTTTTATTGTTCAAATTAAATCACATACATGCATATTTTATTATTTGAATGAAATTATCAATATTATCAATATTATCAAAATTATCAATATTGATAGGTTAATGTGTACTTTATTATAAACATGTGTACTTTATTATAAACAATAATTTTAGTCAACACTTTCTTGACATACTTCAAAATTTGGCGAATCATAATTATCAATCACGTGAGGAATGTATGTTTAAAATTGATAACACGAAACATTACATAAATCCAATTACACATTCAGTACGATATAATCGTATCAATCCATTTCAAGTGATATCATATCATGATCATTCAAATGATGATTATAGTAATAACAACGATGAACCATTCAGCTTGATTCGATTACATACTCGTTCGTTCACATAATCTTGTAATATATCTAAAAAATATTTATTGATTTATTTCTTTTCTATTCTAGTATGTATTCATAAAATAATAGTAAAGGTAAAAATATAAATATTCTTATTATTGATAATTAATTAAAATATATCGATATTTTTTAGCAAATAAAACGCAATATGTAACGAAATGGTTAAATTCATTAGATGTAAATATCCCAATGTTAGAGAATGATAACATTGAACAAAATGATTTTCAAACAAATTATTCAGGTATATTCATTTTCTAGTTATTTCTATTAATATATCATTGAGATATCAGTAAATAATTGCTGAAAAAGATGGAAAATTATCAATTTTAACAAATAAAAAATACTTTTATACTTTAATATATACATAATATAAATATATAATATAAATACTTTAATATATACTTTCAATTTCAATTTACTACCAAAACTTCATTATTATCATTTCAGCATTTACAGAAAATTTTCAAAATGAGCTTTTCAATGATACGCGACAATTCTGTTGATATCATTCATGCTAATTCACATGATCAACCTGTGATATTTGTAGTGTCACATCTCTTAACTTTTTCGCTATCTTTTTATCTATTGCTTCATTTTTTCACTTAATTTTTCATTTCATTTATCACAAAACGGAACTTATTTCTCTCAGTACTTATGATTGTAAATAAATTTTTATAGCAATAAAAGATGACAATTGTGATCATAATTGACCTATGAACTATCTTCCTTTTAACGTTTTTTTTTTTCTAGTATCAGAATGTGAAAATTGATTGAAATTAAATCTATGATTAAATAATTCCGGAATTATTACTGAAAGGATTAAAATCAGATTGTAAGCATTAGAATGGAAATAATTTTGATCAATAATAGCAAGATATTGTTCGGATAATATTTGGACCACCCACGAAGCTTTAGAAAGGTTACGCAGTAAGTGAAAGCAGAACTGATGGTTTATTACTCTAGAACGGATGAAAACATGTTGATAGGAGGAAAGAGAAACCTTCAATGGATATCGAAATTGAAATTTCGAAAATGGTGACATGGAATAATTTCCAAGAAAGGTCAATTTTATTAATTTTTTTCCTCCTTTTCCTCATTTAAATTTCAATCATAAATTTTATTGAAATTTTAGAATTTCCTAATTTTTTCTTTTTTTTTTATATTTGTTAAAAGTAAATATGATGGATGAATATTTTGTTTTTTTTTTGTAAGAATTATTGGATGGTAATATTAAGGTAGCTCGTTTAGGATAGCTGATTGCTAGAACTGTCTGAGTGATTATTCATTTATGCAAATTTTACTACATCATTGTTTAATCCAATCTGCTAACAAACGTTTATTGTTACATGACAGTAATAAGGTAGGATGTATATTGGTAAATTTTGAATCAATATTTGTTTTTTTTAAAATTTTATACAATTTATGTTGAAATATATTTATTTCAGTTGGATGCGCTATTGTGGTACGGTTCATTTCCAGTATTACTAGTAAATTTCAATAAAAATTTGTAATAATTTAGTTCATTTTAAATAAAATACTTTTCTTTTTTTAAATTTTAAAATAATTTTTATCGGAAATGTATTTTGTATATTCCTCTCGAATTATTCCAATTCCTTCCAATGTTATTGCCCTAAGGATTTACACATTCATCGATACAACTACAACAATTTTTCCATTTTTAATTTCCTTCTCTTTCTCTCTCTCTCTCTCTCCCTCTCTTCAATTCCTTCATTTATGTTTACAAATCTTACTAATTAATGCATTTAAATGTTTTGAAAAATTTAATTTATATCAAATTTGGAATTGCTAAAACTTCGAATTTGCTATAATTTGCTTTTATTCTCTTTCTAACTCTTAAATAGTATTATAGGTTCAAATTTATTAATTAAATTTAGAAGAGTTTTTTCAAAAATATCCCCTTCTCTTCTCCTCCACTCTCCAGAAACTCTATCCGAAAATAATTCACTCTATTGTGGTGACGTCATAGTCCTTAATTTGCATAAATCTTCTCGCAGTCATGCTATCATTTAGAAGTTTACGGTAGTGAATTGGTTTACGATTTCCTTCTGAAGTCGAGTCGAGCACACTTAGCAGCATTTCGAAATTTTTATCATCTATTTAACGGATACGTCTATCAGTTTGCAAAATCTCTTCACAGTATTTTTTTTTTTTACTTACTATATTAATTAATTAATTCATAGTTTTATTATGAGATTCCATAAAATCATGGTGCATCGTGCAAATGCAAGTGCATGAAGTAATAGAAGATGTAAATTATTGTTTAACTTTTATAAGTGAACAAACTTTATCTTTTAACAATTTTATCATCTATCAAACATCATCACTTCAAACTGCTAATGTTTTTCTGTAATTTAAAAAAAAAAATTAGAACAAATATCATAAAGCTAATATTAAAGTTACAGATAAATCGTTTGAATACTGATAAGGATGATGGCATTGGATGGAGATATACGAAAACGGATGACAATGATGAATAATCGCATAAATCGGCCATCAATACCAAGCAGTCCTTCACATCCACCTTGTCAACGACCAACCTATCCAGTAAGCTTTAATTTTGTTTTTCTAGGCCTATGAAAATGATTTTATCAATCAAAGGATGAGATTGTATTCAAATCATTTCCCTTTTTTAATCTGCAATATTAGATACTTTTTCGGATATCACAATGTTTCTCTTCCTTGTCTTCATAATAATTACTTGATATGGTAAAATAGATGTTTTTAGTGAAAGAATGAAATGGAATTCGTATGTTAACCATTTACTTTAGCAAAAGCAAAATTGTTTCAATCAATTTTTCTGAAATGTTGTAAAAATTTTAATTTAATTTTTAAAATTGTTACAATTAATTTTAACGAATGACTTACTGAATCGTTGTAAATGATGTAAAATGTGCTTTGCTACTTTTTAAGGTATCATCATTCGTGCTTAATCCACATATACCATCAGATACGCGCTCACCAAAATCACTATCAGATGGAAGTATAACTAATTCATCTAGTTCATGTACCAGCTCTTTGCAACAGCATTTTTATGGGTATCAATAAATTTTACAAAATGCTGATCATTTTTGAAACCTTTTTAAAAATTCATTGATTATGACACATTTGACAATGCTTTTCATATTAGCAGAAGCTTAGGTCTCATCATTTTACAGTGATATAAAATATAATAAAGTTCAGATTCATATCTTAACCTATGAATTTGCTTTATGGTACAAATCCTAAATCAAACTTTCTCATAAAAGTGATTATGCACTATTTCATCTTTGTTTTAGGAAAAGGAAAAAAAATCAATCTGTTTTATACCATAATAATATATTTACATTTTATTTAGTAATCCGGTATTAAAATTTGGTAATAAAACCGAAAATGCTAACGGTAATGATTGTGCAATACTCATGCCACGTGATCAACTTTGTCAACCGTTTTCTTCATGGTCCCCTGCATCCTTAATTAATAACAATGGTAATTCATTTGAAATATATATATATCATCAATTTTTAGAGATGAAAATATCTATTATGAATCTTTTTCTGTTATAGCAAAAATGGAAACGGGTGATCGTCGAAATTTATCACGTAATCCAGGTGTTCCATCTACTCCGGAAGCTTATTTCATTATGGACGAATCACTTGAAATTTTTGCTCGCAAAGTTTTCGTTGGTGGACTTCCAATTGATGTTACGGAAGGTAATGAGGATTTTTTTTTCTTTGAATTTAAAATCCATGATATTCAAATGAAACTTTTAAAAAAAAACTCAAAAATTTGCATTTTTTACCACAATCATTGTTATCATATGATCACAAATAAAAGATAAAACTAGAATATGCTATCATTAAGCTAGAATTGAACAATTTTTTGATGATAATTATTCTGGAAGATATCAGTTATCATTAGCAGATATTATTAATAACACGTTTACCAATGTCACATTGCTATTGCTAATGAATGGTAGATCCTTTGCAGATGAAATAACATCAACATTTTCACAATTTGGTCCGGTACTTGTTGATTGGCCACGTCGTCCTGATACTGGTGTTAAAGAACGATCCACAGGTATTGTTGATTTGTTGCTTTTTGTTATCAGGTAATTTTCTGAACATTTGAATATGTTACTTTTGATTACAAAAATATAAATTTCATTCATCTGATTAAACTTCCATTTTTTGTGCTCAAAAGTTTTACTCTTTACAATGAATACAAAATAAAATATTAATTCATTTGTTTTGAAATGCAAATAATAACACAAAAATAACATTAAATTATAAAACATCCCTATTAAGCGTCATTTTTTTTCTTTTTTTTTTTTAGTCACGTTATATGACTGGCTATGTTTTCTTGGTGTTTGAAGATGAGCGTTCAGTGCAACTGTTAGTGAGTAAATGTCATAAAGAGGATGACAAATATTACTTGTTTGTTTCTAGTCCAACGATGCGTGATAAACCGGTGAAATTTTTTCTGTTAATATAATTAATTATATGAATATATTTAAAATTAAATTCGACTACATCTTTTAGTATCCTAAATTTTTAAAAAAACTTTTAGTATCCTAAATTTAACGTACATTACTTCTGATACAAAAAATAATCACAATTGTAAGGTACAAGTACGACCATGGCGTTTGGATGATATGGAATTTATGCTTCGAGAGGATATGCCATTAAATCCACGACGAACTATTTTCATTGGCGGTGTACCTCGACCAACGAAAGCTCGTAATGTTCTAATATATATATATATATATATTGGGATGCGAAATATTTAAAAGTATTACAGGAAATAAATTTATTCTACTGATGAAAAATGTATTTCAGAAGAATTGGCACGTGTTCTAGATCATCTTTATGGATCAGTTTGTTATGTTGGAATTGATATTGATCCAGAATTGAAATATCCAAAAGGAGCAGCACGAGTTACATTCACCACTGAACAATCTTTTATTGCAGCTATAAGCGGACGCTTTGTGCATATCCCTCATGCTGATATGAGTAAACGGGTAATTAATTAATTTAATTAATTAATTTATACCTTTTCCAACTACCGGAATAATACATCTATCTTCCTGGCATAATGTCACTTTCTTGTAATTTTTTAATTAATTAAATGATTTCAAATTATTAATACTTGGTGTAGTATTAAAAATAATGTTTCAAAAGTATCTATTTAATGCTAGGAAATATGTATCAGAATTATGAAATAGGATATAACTCAACAATTGAATCAATAATCAAACTGTATAGTATACCTAATCTTGTATTTCAAATTCTGTTTTAATTAAGTGTAACACAACTAATTGATACTTTAAAATGAAAACATTTAATATCAAATATTAGTTTTGTATTAGTTTCTTCTTTTTCTCGAGTTATATCTTTGTAGGAAAAGAAGAAATGCGAAAAGTTAAATGATTTTAGGATTGATATAATTTTTTTTTTTTCTTTTCAGGTCGAAATAAAGCCCTATGTAATTGATGAACAGATGTGCGATGAATGTGAAGGTGTACAATGCGCTGGTCGTTACGCTCCGTATTTCTGTGGTGATGTGACATGTTTGCAATATTACTGTGAGTATTGCTGGGACTGTTATCATTACGGTGAATATTCTAATGAGCGAAAAATTTCGCATAAGCCATTGGTTCGTATTGGTGATCAGACTAAGGTGAGTCAGTCTTTCGTTATCATCAAATAAAAGATAACAGTTAAATGATTACAGTAATGGATTTAAATGATTCAGATTTATCGTAATGTTATCTGGTAATTTTGTTCTAGCAATGATAAATTTGAGGGAATAGATGGATGAATAGTGGTTATCAAATGGAATAAATAATGTCAATTGTGAAATCTTGAAAAGTTTTTTTTTTGTCCAATGAGCTAATTGGATTATTGCTGGAAATTGTGATAATCAATTAAGAAAAGATATCAGTAATATAGTATAGTAATAGAAAAAATACTAATTAAGAAAAAATATTAGTAATATCTATATTCTTTCAAAATCGTTAACAGCATTTTAAAAGTTTGATTAAAATAGACTATTAAATTTAAACAATTTCAGCTCTTGGCTCATCCACCACATCATAATCATTTATCAAATAACAAAGTATTATCAACCACAACTCCAGTTGTAGATTGTTGCCGTCATATTGATACTACAACATGCTTTACCGTACGATGTTCACAGCATTATTGATTAACTGCGTAGTAGTAAAAGACATTTTCATTGTATTCATAAAATTTTGAGATTTTTTTTTTTTTTTTTAAATGACAATAGATTTAATTAGTCCAAGTTATTATCAAACTTGTAAGATATTTATTTTATTTTATTTTTCTATGGAATTTATTTGTATTTAACTTTTTATCAAATTTTTAATTGTATTATTTATATTAGAAATTCTTAAAATTTTGATGATAATAATAATAGTCATAACAATTCTAGTCCTAACAAATATTTGTTGCTAAATTTCTTTTCCAATTAACTCATCTATCCGATATCAATCTCATCTATTTTATTGTATTTCAGAAAATATTTTCTTGAAATTTTTAAAATTTATTTTATATGCTTGCAAAGATTTTTCCATCATCATACTTGCTGTCATTTTGCACAAACAATTATTGGCATATTACTCAGCAATTTTAGATTAAAATTAAAATTTGCCCAAAAAATTTCCTTTTGTTTTTTGTTTTTTGTTTTTTTGTTTTTTGTAACTTTTAATAATATACGTCACAACTATAAGGTCAGTTCGTCACAACTATAAGGTCAGTTTTGATTGACCTTCTGAAGAAGATAATTTATGAGTGTTACAAGTGTTACATTACTTTGTAAATGTTAAATATGCACAAATTACTTGACAATGTTAGACAAAAGGTGGACAAAATATTAATTGTAGCATTTTATTCGAATCTGATATCATAATTTAAAAAGAAGTAGTGAAAGGGAAAAAAAAAGTTCAAAGGTAAATTACAGTGGTCAGTTAGCTTGACTAAGTTATGCTAGGCTAAACTTAATTTAATAACATAACGTATAATAACAGGAAAGTAGTATAACATTGATACGATTAAGTGGCTTCATATCACCTGTAGCAAGAATTTGATAATAATTAAGAAATTAATTTTTTTTTTTAACCAAAGGTTTTATCAGAAAATAAACTGTTGTTATCATATTAAGGAGCAAAATTTGCTGATATTATTAAGTGATATATTTATGCAACAAATACTAAGTTTAAATTACTAAATTTAGAAAGAAAATTTTAAAAAAATTTTAAATTTAAATTACTTTCCTTTTTTTTTTTGTATTGCAAAGTTTGTTTCATTCACAAAATAATGCTATCACATTGTAATACGTGGCTTTGAATATATGATAGCACTGTTTTACTTGTCATTTTTTTAATGTTTGCATAAGTAATAATTTTACTTGCAGCATTGTACTCAAACTGATTTCTGTCTTCGTATGATAAGCATTTTGCTTCGTTTGTTTTATCATTCAAAACATTTTACCTTTTTCCTATCTTCTCTATTTTCCGGATATATCTCCTTGTTTTTATTTTCCGGATATATTCCCATTTCCTTTTTTTTTTACTGATTTCATCCATTCTTTTCATCTTATTGTTACTAATTTTTACTCGTTAATTTTTTCCTTTTTTTTTGATGTTTTAAATGATTGTAATAATTTTCGTAAATGTTTTTTTTTCTTTTCCACTCCTACTTATAATTTTTATGAATTTCTCTCCTTCTATTTGTTAATATCTGATATTACAAAATGTCAGAGTGTATGTCGCATGTCGCATACATTTTACAGATCTGTCCAATGTTATTTACAAAAGGATGAGTTTCCTTTTGTTTCTAGCAGTAAACGAATGATGAAAATAAGATCGATTACTGCTTTCGGGAAATTGCTAAAAAAATGATTGTCACATATCCGATCTAATTCGAAATTAGCAATTTGTATTAAATATGTTTTCTTTTTTTTTTGAATGAACAAATATTTCGTTTTATTTCTTCCATTTTCTGTCTTATATCTTGAGATTAATAAAAGCTAAAATGCAGTGCAAAAGAAAATTTGAATTGTATGATTATATGAAAGAATAAGATGATAGTAAGATTAAAGAAAAGCCTCTCATAGAACATTTTTTACAGATTGAAATATTTTTTGGATATTAAGTTGAACATAACTAGTATGTTATCATGACATTATTGATAAGATGTGGAGATGAGAATTAGAATGTGATAAGAAAGTTGATTGATTGATATATTCTTCTCAATAGGAAAATATTATCATATATTGAGACTAGAAACTAAACATATTTTCTTTGCAAATATTACTCATGCAAGGACTATTTTTGTTCATTTTGAATCAAATAATTTAATAAATATTAGAAAGAGAAAGTTTACTTGGAATATTCAAATTGATTCATAGAAGCATAGATTCATCGAATTCAAGAACATCAAGAATCTACGATTCTATAAAGAATCAAGAGAAGAGAGAAAAATCATAAGTAGGAAGAAGGAATAATTTATAAATAATCCCAATTAGAAGAAAGAAATAATTAGAAAAAAAGCAAAATATTTCAATGTAACAATGAAATTCTCAGAAACTATGGGATTCTTATGAATTTTTTTTGATTAGAATGAAGAAAATCAAGGCTTTCTGAAGTGCATGATTCCGGTGAATCATTGAATCCTTTATCTTATTGTTCATGATTCCGGTGAATCATTGAATCCTTTATCTTATTGTTGATCTTGTTTCTGCTTTTTAATTATTCGTAAAAAACTGGATCAGCAATGTAAATTATTTCGTTGATCAACCTCTTCTCATATTCCGAAAGCAAATCGATTTATAAAATTGTACTTAATTATAGAATATAACTTAAAAAATTATAATTAATGAATATAGGTAGATCTACATAGCCAAAAAATACTGTACTAATAAAGATCAGATAAAGTGAAGGTTTCTAAAATTTTCTCCCTTATTAAAAGAGAAAAGATTAACTCGAATTTAATCGAGAAACGATTACTCGAAATTAATCGATTAAACACCAAAAATAATTCATCCATCATTACTTCTAACCATACATCAATAATGCCATCATACCATCTTAATTAGCACATTTCAACTTGAGGAAAAAGATGGATTTTTATTTTGCCTTTCAGCGATGATATGCAAATTTCATAAATTTCAAATTCACATACTTATCTACAGGATGTGCAAGTCATACCATTGAAATTTTTTTATCACCTCATCATTTTCATCATTTAAAATTTCTGCCAGAATTTATACTTAGAATCAGAATCACGTAAATTTATTGTCACGTAAATTATTTATTGTCACGTATGCTGCAATCACGTATATAATTTGTCTTTCTAGCGTGATGGCAAACGAATAGCACTTTAAAATTGGAAAATTAGCAGTATTCTCTTTCAACAGTTTTCAAACCTTAATTAATAATCAGTTATTAGTCTAACAATTATTCTAACTTTAAATTATCAGTTATCATATGTGATAATGAGTTTTCAATCAGTGCTACAATTTGTGTGCTTATAAAGCATTGCCTGCTTCCATTTGCTAGTGCAAATTGATGCCAGATTTATCAAAAAATTCTGATTAATTTGGCAAATCCCCAAAAGATTTCGTATAAGCAAAGGTAAGTCTCAAAAAAAAAAAATCTTCGAAGAGAGACAGAAACATGCCTGTTATTGAAATACATAAATTAAAATGAAGCTATGAAGTCATGCATCATAGCGCAGTAGAGTTTATATAAAAAGAAAATTGAATGGATAAGCTAATCGATAAGCCAGGTCATAGGTCATCTTTTAAATTAAACATCCGGCGAGTAAACGCATGTCTTTTAAATGTAATAACTTTGAAGCAGACATTTTTTGTCGACAATGCATCGCTGAACTATGGCGACTTGATTCTTGTGTCACATCCTCCTATAATTTAGCTCTCTAACAGAAAAGCGATAAATTTGTAATTCCTAAATTTTCCCAGTCTAAATGAGTTGACATTTTTGATTAAATGATAACCATTATCTTTTTATTTTTGGACTTTTTTTGTTTAATTTTAATTTTTAAAATTCAATTAAAAATTGTACAATTCCTTCATCGGTGATAATGTGTTTGATAACAGAATGTTGTGATATAGGCATTCGTCGAACCAACAGAAATCGTTGAATGCATTTAAGAAGGACGACAAATAGGAATAAAATGATGCAAACGATAATTGTAGCAAGAAAAACAGAGAAACTAGCCAAACCAACACGTACTATTCGAATCCATTTTCCTGGTAAAGGTTTCTGAAATAAATTTGTATTTTAATTAAATATTTATTAGATACAAATTGATATAATATTATTTATATCATAAAAAGTAGTAACCATTGTTGTCGATGTGTAATTTTGATATAAAATCATGGAACTATTCCAGTCCTAAAATGAAATAAAATTCAGGTTTATAGATATTGTTAAATTTAGGTCAAAGAAATAAGCTGATCATAGGGCTATCTTTTCTTTTTTAGTTTTTTTTTTTACATTTCAACTAAATATTTATTAAACATAGATGAATGTATTATCATTTATGCCGTAAAAAGTAGCTACCATTGTCGTAAATGTATAGTTTGGATATAAAGCTATGGAATTATTCCAGTCCTGAAATAAAATTTAGGCTCATAGATATTGATATTGATAGATTTGAATTTGAGAAATGAAGTTATTTTTTCAATTAAATAGATTGCAAATTAAATGATATAAAAATAATCGAATATTTGAATTCGAAAATGAAATTAATGAACTACTAAGAATGCAAAAGTTTATTTCAGTAGAGATGATCGTAATCATTTCTATGATTTTTCCACTTGATTATCGTATTCATTTGTGAATTCTATCTTCGTAATTGACACAAAACTTTATTTTCCACTCTCTGTGTTAATGCATATATTAGGCTCCCACATTTAATTGCAATTAATTAATTAATTGGATAGCAATAAACTCACAAAATATTCCGTTGTGTTATTCAATTCAACTGAAACTATATTTTAAGTTTTTTTTTTTCCATTTTAGAATAAAAGATGTTATCAAGCAAAGGGAAATATATAAATCTGCTATCAACTCTTGGAATTTAAACTAGAGAGTTAAAGTTAAAATGAGTATGACAGATTAAAATACCTGATAGCTCAATGGAATTCATACATGCTATTGTTATGTTATAAATGTCATCCGTTGTATCGTTACTGAAACAAGCGGCATTCTTTGGAACTGCAACATCTTCTTATGGTTGACAAATCATTAATTACTTGTATAGTGAAATAAGTAATGGACGAAAAGGTAATGTTGAAAGTCCTAAATTTAAAAACTGGAACTCCTAAATTTAAAAAAAAATTAAAAATTGCGGTATGCATTATCAAATTAAATGGATAGCAACAGTTGATATTTATTTTTAGAAATAATATAATTAATGAGGAAATGGTTATAGCATAACAATGACACATAATATTTCCTACTTTACATTCAGATGATAATTTAGTATCTTAAATTTAGTACCTTAAAGTTTAGTATTTCAGATTCAATAATTCATATTTGGATTATATCAAAATTTCATAATACACTCTATTATATGATACATTTCATTCAAAGCCTTATTTTATATTAAATTAAAGTTACTAATTAATTTAAGTAAAGTGCAATAATTAATTTTTTAATGAAAATCTATGGAAATACTACCATATTCTACTTCATTTCCGTAAAACTCACCGAATGGTTCTTCAAAAATATAAAAAAATTGTGTTATGCTATTATTCATATCATCCGGTACACTTTGTATCTCTTTCCAATTTCCGTTTTGTATTTCCTGAATACATTTTTCCATTTGATTATCATCAATATCCAATACTAATGACATATTACTATTGTAATTGATAAATGTACAAAAAATCATCGATTCATCCTGAAATAATCATACTCTTATCAAATTATCAACTTGATAACTAATATAATTATCAAATCTGAAATATTCCAATATGTAATCCAACCTGAAATGCATTATTTTTGAAGTTTGATTTTACTTATTTTACTGCGCATAATTTTCATTTTACTTTTTTGTTTTACTCTTTTTTTTTTTTACTATGTAAAGATTAGAAATACATACATAAAAAGTTTGTAATTATTGTTTATTAATGAAAATTAGGAGAGGAAAATGTCACGAATGAATGATTAAGCTAATAATTGTAGTAGCATCAATTTGCTAACATTGCTATTATCACTTGCAGTTATCAATATTGAATTTGCATGCATAATAGATTGCAAAAGCATGCAGAACGAAGCAACAACCATCCAACGCATAAGGATCATAATATAATGTTGTGAAGGAAAATGCTAAAAATTTACATCACATGCTGTAAATGCAAGAAGAAAAGTAATGATTAGCATGATCTTGCAATGATGGCGCATTTATTTATGCTCTATTAATTTCAAATTATGTATTCAATACATTTTCTGTTCAAAAATTCTACAACTAACTATGTTATTCGTTAAATTCTTATAACAAATAAGTGGAAATATAGGTTAATTTAACCTTTAACCCGTAGTAATACTAAATTCTCGACAAAATCGAGTACATTACAGTAAAGTAGTAAAGGTTAAGTAAGAGAATGATACCATGAACAATAAGCATATTAAAATTATTCTTAAAATTCTACCATTTCAATGTTGAATTTTTTGACTTATGTTACAGTAAACCAATCATTAATGTGACCTCTTTGTGCTTTATTACTGTAAAATTCGTGAGAAACATAATTATAATGTTTGATAATTAGTATATAATTAGTAGAGATTGAATTATATTTATTATTGTTTTCATTGAGATGAAAGATAGGACGATGAACGATTAAATTATGAATTTTAAGCAACGTTGAATACAAATTTACAATGTATTTTGCATAATATTACAAGCAATTTGTTTGTTTTTTTTTTTTTTAGCTAATACAATTAATTTGATAATTATAAGAATTCTTAAGATGTAACATATTGATAATATAAAGTCATTTAGCTAAAAAAAATATTCATCGTATGATTTTGTCTGTATTTCATCGAAATTTTTCGATTTTTTTTTTTTGATCGCAATTGGAAAAGATTCGTCGCAAAAATTTTTTTTCTTCCCATGAAAATTATTTTTTTTTTTATCGCAATTGGAAGAAATTTGTCGCAAATATTATATGTATAGATGATATATATACTTTTTTTTTTTCCAAATTTGTCTACATTCATTTCATTTATCATGCAGTAGTACATTTTGGACGAACAAATGCCTCGATAATATCATGATTTTCAATTCGAGTAAGATAAAGTGCTGAACGTCGCATGCTCATTGTTGGTAATTCGATCCAGTTATTTGAACGAAAATCGTATGCTTCTGTTTCACCTATGGTACCAACCATACCACCATAACCACCAGCAACCACTACTTGATTATTTAATACTTCTATACCAAAATTTGAACTGAAAATGGATGAAATTTTAATTTTATTATCAAATTTTATAATTTAATAATAAAATTAAATTTTATAATTTTCATCGTATGTATTTACTGAATTAAATCTTAAATGTGAATTAAATTTTAAACCGTGGTCGATTCATTGATCGTAAACGATGCCATTTCCCTTCTCTTGTATCAATAAATTCACATGTTTGTAAACGAGTGGTACCATCAAAACCACCACATATAAATACAACACCTTCTAAGGTAGCTGCACCAACACCAGAGCGCTAAAATATCCATCATTAATTATTGCAACTTTTTCGATATTTCCATAATCTGATCTGTAAAGTAATCGATAAGTTTGCAACATGTAAAAATTTTGGCGCAAATTCTGGCGCTAATGGATAACTAACACGACTTGTCATGTTATTGCTCATAATAAACCATCGATCACGTTGTGGTTCGTAGTATTCAACGCTAGAGTGACAATTCATTCCATCGAAACCACCGATTGCATATGCTACATTTTTCATTATCACGCAATGACCATCACTTCTATAAAATTTAATTTAAAAAAAAAAAAAACTTCATGAACTTCTTACTTTACTCACTTAATTTGTTTACTTGACTTCATTTTACTTTACCGTAATCATAGTTGTTACTGTCCTTATAAAGTATGAAAAATTTATAACTGTAAATAAAAAGCATAGTAGGATAAACATTTTTTGATCATATAGTATTGAAAAAGTGGGTTAATTGTTTAAAAAAAAGAAAAAACGAAAAAATTGAAGAACTTACTTTACTTACTTTTTTAATTAACTTATTTACTTTACTTTACTGTGCTTAATCTTACTTACCTTACTTTATCTACCATACTCTACTTATTTTACTCTACTTACTTTATTCATTTCACTTCACTAACTTTATTTATTTTTCGTACTTTACTTACTTTTCATTTTCCTTACTACTTAATGTCATTTTCATTGACATGAACATCTCATTGGATTGCAGTTAACTCTGATAATATGTAATTATTTAATTTTCAGTTTTTTTTTTTGAAAAAATTTAAGTTAACCTTCTAACGCTCATTTCGGCAATTCGATGCCATTGATTCTTTGGTATATGCAAAATTTCCGCAGATTTCAAGCGATCATTGTTGTTATAGCCACCGATTGCTATAATTCGTTCCGGATCTAACAAACCACATCCAACATAGCATCGTTGATCATACATTGGTGCTACCTCTATACATTCCTGTAAATTAATTAGCTTTAATTTGAATGCTTAAAGCAAGTTTTCAAAATTTTAATTCACTAATACTTGGCTTTTTTCCGTTTAAGTAAAAGATTTTAAATAAAAATATAGTTTTAAATGAATTTTAGATTCTTTTTGAATAAAATATAAATTTACCAATTAATTATTTGTTAACTAAATTTGAAATTTGATTTCATTCATCCATTTTTGATTAACTTGAACTAAATTAAATTAGGAAAAAATGAATTTACAAATAATTTATTGAATTTTAATGAAATAAAATAACTTGAATAAATAAATTAAAATATAAATTTACTTGATTATTTAAATTAAATCTTCTCGTTGATCGATAATATTCAGCACCATTGAAACCACCAATTGTAAATAAATATTCACCAGTATTAATTACAGCATGATAAGCACGTGGTAATTCAAAAAGTTTGACCTCTGAACGTACCCATTTTTGGGCACGACAATCAAGTGTTTCCACTAGCATCGTTGGGCCTACATTTGACCAACCACCTAGAAATTGTTAAATTTATGACCTTTTTAAATTATTTTTAAAAATTTTAAAAAATTTTTAGGAAACTAAAAAAAAAGAAGTCATACGTTATAAAAGTTATTTACCACTTGCAAGTAAAACTGAATTTGGCAAACGTGGCTCATTTTCGCTGAAGCCAATAGTATCATTCCGCCCACGGAGTTCCTCATGTAATCGTACCGCACCACCACCATCATAATCATTAGCCTTAAATTGTTTCAGTCTATCCAAACTTAATTGATTTTTGTCAACTTCTATCACATTTATTACAGAAATTTGCCTACCGTAATCCATTTTCGGACCATTGCTGTTTCTTCATTTTTGTTAATGTTTAAATGTTTGTCATATAATAGCTTGATGATTTCTACTTCAGAAAGCCTAGAATTAAAATTGAATTTCAGAAATTAAACTCTTTTCGTGTAATTCGTTGGATGATTAAGAAGTGAAGTTTAAAGTTTAATTATTGCAGCTATAAGAAAAGTCTCAAATATTGCTAATAGCAGTAATTGTTCATCCTTAAAGACTATCGTAATTTAAAATTAAAATGTGTTTTTAAAGATTTAATTTTCTAGACTGTTCATCAAATTAAAAAAAACTTATGGTAAACACTATAATCTAGTAAAGTTTTTTTTTTGTACCCAAATTATGGGTTATATTACCTGTAACAACAGGTAAAACATTCAACAATATAGCAATAAACAGAAAAGATACTGATATAAATCAGATTAGATCTTCTTTTTTTCAAAGAACATTTTGAGGGAATCTGATTTTTTTGCTTAAAGACAACAGTTAGTTTCATTGAAATTAAAAAAAAAACAATTGAAAAAATTTTCAATTTGAAAAAAAAAGTAACAAATTTAATTTTGAAACTAACATAAGAAAAGTGTTATTTGCTAGTAAACGATCAAATTCACGGACGATTATTTTCCATAATTTCTGTGCTAATGGTACATGGCGATTTTCTGAAAAATACTATTAAAATCTTTCAAAACATGAAATACAGTAATTCTAGTCATTCTTGTCCAATTCCATTTATTACAGTTTTTGTAAAATTCATGCAAAATGAAATTCGATGAATGGTCTACCTACCGTCCATTTTTCTAAATTCTCCCGTTACCTTCAAAATCTTAGAATTCAGCCTACCGTCTCCATTCTTCTAAATTCTCTCATCACCTTCAGAATCTTAGAATTCAGCCTACCGTCTCCATTCTTCTAAATTCTCCCATTACCTTCAGAATTTTAGAATTCAGCCTACCGTCCATTCTTCTGAATTCTCTCACCACCTTCAGAATCTTATAACTTCCAAATAATATCTGTTGCATGTCAAAAATTTATTTTAAAATTAGAAGGATTCTTAATTTAAAATACCTGCTTTATGATATGCTAGCACTAACGAATCAGCATTTACTTTGGACACAATCACATCGGATATAAGCGCTAGCAATGGATCAATTAGCAAATACGACGCTATGTCTAATATCTATTAAAAATTGAAATTAATGATACAAAGTAAAATACCTAAGCTATATGATGAAATCATTATAATTCATTCCTTTCAGTTGCACTTGTGTAATTAATTATGCTTTGAAATTAGATTACTTTATAAATCATTAAGTACGAATGTATCACATTTAGAAGGTAGTAAATAATCATTTCCATGGAAAATGAAAAAACTTTTTATTATAAAGGTGGGTCGAAAAAATACGGTAACGCGTAAATAATTCAATATCACCATGCGCTCTTACATGCTATATACGTATTTCACGTATGCTGATAATTGCTTTCAAATGATATACGCGTATTTCACGTATGCTGATAATTGTTTTCAAGTGATATACGCGTATTTCACGTATGCTAATAGTTACTTTACAAGTGAACGTTTGTAAATGTTCTTCAAATAATAGAAATAATTATACCTCAAATGCTTTTCGCAAACTCATCCATTGTAAATTTGGTACTTTCCACTTACTTTCATTCATCAGTTGATTGAGTACCACACAGCAATGTAGGAATTCTTCACTCTATAAGTGTCTATTTGATTATCATTAATGTTTACTTCAGATAATTAAACTTAAACTTAAACAAATAAACTTTATGCTTTTAAATATTGCTAATATTTACATACAATATGATAAAAGGCGCAAATTTCCATTAGCACTTTTTCAATAATAATTTGAACATTGGTATTATGGGCTCTTTAACTATTAAAATTATATAAACGAGATGTGACATGAAATGAGATGTGACAAACTTTGGTTCTGTCAAAATTTAATAATTTAGATTTTGTTTCCGAGAAACCACCATAAAATGCAGCTCGAAAATATGGCGAAATTTGTGCGAATTCCTTGCGATCTATTGTAATCTACAATCATGGATTAAATTTAATTTATGAAAAGTTTGAAAAGTTCGAATTACGGCTCTAATCATTGTTTTGATATTTTTGAATTGATCGTTAAATTTTCAATTCTCTTGATTATTCAGCTAATGTAAAGTTAGTGAAAGGACAACGGCGACAAAAGATGTGATTTTTATCTTCTCATATTTAGAGTAATCATTAGCTATAACTAATTTTCTTACAAAATGTAAAAAAATTTTTCTAAAAATTTTTTCTTAAATTTTTTTTTCTTTTTATAGCAATAATTTTATTATATTAAACCTAATTTTATATCAAATCAAGCGGGAAAAAAAATGAATTTTTTGTTAATTTAAATTTATATTATAAATGAAGGATTGAATTCCAGTGTAGGAATTGAAATAATATTTAAATCATTAAAATTATACCGCAGTATTTCTGTTAAGAATGACAATTGCGCTGCTATATGGTTGTTGTTGTTGTTGTTGTTGAAATTTGCCTTGTTTTATAAGTGAATTTTTTTCATCAACTGTTATTGGAGAAGTATTGAAGTGTTGTTGTGCTATAGATTTTGCTGGAGAATCGATAGCAGTTGAGGTTGATAATGATGATGATATCAGAGCAAGTGAATCATAATCATTGGCATCTGTTGAATGAGTTGATACAGGTGTTCGTGATACAACCTCACTTGTTGTGGATGATTTCGATGATAATGTAACAGTTGATGCTTCTTTATGGCAATTTTTATTAATTCTATTTCTCCGTGATATTTCCACGACGAATTGTTCCTTTGAGCTACTTTGTGCTTCACTCATATACGCTCTTTCATATGAAACAAATTTGTTTTAAGCAAAAATAACAACAATGAATATTTCAAAGAAATTTTAGCAAAAAAAAAAAAAACATTCTAATGAAATGTAAGAAAAAATGTTGAATAATTAAAAAAAAAAAATAGAAAGAAAATTCAATTTTTCGCCTCATTCATTTTCCGCCATTTGTGCGCATTTGGACATTTATTAATTACTCTTAAAGATACCTCAAAAAATTTGTTAAATGGATTGCTTAATTTAGTAAATTTCATTACTTTACTGTATTTAAGAAAGAAATATATTTACAATGTTGGCTTATTCTTAAAAATAACTATTAGTTAAAATACTAATAACTATTTATAAATTAGTATGGCCTAAGCATAATTCGCATTACGCATTGTAGTAATAGTAATAAGTCGAAATTAAGGAATATTTTTTTCATTTCTAAATGTAATAATTAAATCATAGTTGACCTTTGATTGTTGAAAATTTAATTAAGATTTAATGAAGAATGACAATGTCTTTGCTCTCTCTTCTCTTATATTATTTAAAATTTCGCTCAAATTAACATTTTCATATTGATAATTTAAAAATGCTATTAACAAATAAATCAATAAATAAACCCATACATTGAGCACTGAATATAATCTTATTTGGACGTCTTCTTTGGTCACTTTTTGTGCTGCCCAAAATAATATATGCATAAAAAAAAAAAAGTAATGACGAAGAGCTGAAGGTCAAATGAGTGATAATTTTTGCTACAATTAACGCGGTTTTAGCCCGACCGTCCGCGGGCGGTGTAAGGATGTGTAAATGGCTTTTCGATATTTCCACAAAACTATTTATGTTTTTCGTTCAAAAAAAAAAAATTACTGTTACGAAAAATTTCCTTATTTTTTTTTCTGGTCAAACATGAAGTTTTCCATAATTGAATTGAATTTACATATCTTTCCTGGTGGAAAATATTAGAAAAAATCCGGAATTAGAATCTTTTGCAAGATAAATTTTCACGGTCACTCCGTCGTACCTGACTTTTTATTGATGGCTACCTTTACATCACTATCTCTTATTCCGATCTTCCTGATCCTGATCCTTGGTTGAATTTACATATCTTTCCTGGTGGAAAATATAGCAAAAAATCCGGAATCAGAATCTTTTACAAGATAAATTTTTGCGTCACTCCGTCGTCCTAACTTTTAACTTTTTACTGATGGCTAGCTTTACATCATTATCTTTTACTCCGATCTTTCTGATCCTGATTCTTCGGTTAGAATTTCGATTCCAGGCTATTTGCATTTCTGATTTCTGCTTGCTATTGATTAGAATGCAAAATGCAAATTTTTTGTAAACATTTAAACTATACATTAGGTAACGAAGTTTGCTTTTTCGGTTTATTATCTGTTCAATGATCAGATAGAACGGTGTAACCCTTTTCTGAGCTTAAAAAAAAAAAAAAGCGATAAGTCCTGTTTATCTTACTTTAATCCAATCTGAAATCATTTTTTAAAATTTGAATTTCTTAATTAAAATAATTTTTGATGATAAATTTGTGTTTCCATGGAATTCAGTATTAGCTACTTTTTTTTCTTGAAGTCATCTTACTGATAGTCATTTGTACGCTGATGTCATGAAAGTTAAAATATTTACCAATTTTATTTGCTTGCAATAAGACATTTTCATCAATCATACATTGCTCATTAATTCTGCTTATCTTTTAATTATCATATTCTGCTTATCTTTTAATTAACACATTTTCAGAATCACAAATTATAGAATGACCCATTCTGTTAGCTTAGGTAAAGCGAAAAAAGAGGGAAGTAAGCGTGAATCTGAGGATGAAGTTTGTTTTAAAATCTTTTATCACTTGATTGAAATCATCAATCGATCTTTTGCATAACTTTTAATCAAACTTAACACAATCAGTCATATTTCGAATTTCTATGTTAACTTACGAAAAACTTGTATATTTTGTGATTTTTGATATGAAAATTACTCATATCTGTATGTATTTTGTAAATGGATTAAATTAATAATACAAATTCATTTACAAAATGGCAACCAACATTTGATAAAGAATATATCAGTAAAACTATTATAGCTTATCAAATGGAGTAAGTTTCCTCATTTTCTTATCACCTAATAAATAGAATTGGCTATACAATATTCTCACAGTTATCACTCTGGTATGATATGCTCTAGAGATATATCAAATAGCGGCTAGTAATATTTCAGCAACTGATTATCATATCATTTCATTGTACTAGCATGATAATGCTATAATTTGAATTGTTTCGTCATATCCGACCAATATTAGTTTTTTTTTTTTTTGGTCTAAATGTGATTTATGGAATTTTATATTACAAAGTATTACAGTTTGCCTTATTTAGATAATGAAGGTAAAACTGTCACGTGGACTGATGTCACAGTAAAAGTACCACTTGCTAAGAAATCATTACTGCAATGTCTTAAGATCGCTCGAGAACCAAGAAAGACGAAAACAATCCTTAGTAAAGGTTAATTAACAAATTTTTTTAGATCTAGAAATTACAATTATTCTTAAAAAATTTGACTGGAATTATGCAAATCTTTCCCTGTGGACTAATTTTTTAGTTCTATGAAGGTTCTCTATCTTTAATTTTATATCCTTTTTTTTTCTAAAAGGAATATATCAAGTAGTTCAAATTTCTGTTCAACAAATTGATTCAGAGTTCTTTTTACAGTTTCCGGTTATGCAATGCCCGGTACCACACTTGCAATTATGGGGAGCAGGTACATTTTTTCCCGATTTCGAAAACCCACTTGAGGAAGTTCGAGTGATAGTAATAGCAATAGTAATAGTAATAGTAATAGTAATAGTAATAACGATAATAATAGTAATAGTAATAGTAATAGTAATAGTAATAGTAATAGTAATAGTAATAGTAATAGTAATAGTAATAGTAATAGTAATAGTAATAGTAATAAT